GTTTGTTTCCCATCACCGTGCTGCGAGTGTTTGTTTTTGATGCCAGGAGCCTGTCAGCCTCAAGGTGACATGGGTAGAAGTGGCTGCCTGTAAACATTTATTTATTTTTTCAAATATATTTATTTCTTCTCAGAGTGTAGGGAAGTTGATTAAAAAAAGAAGAATAAGAATATTTCATTCTGGCTCACACCTATAATCTTAGCACTCTGGGAAGCCGAGGCAGGAGGATTGCTTGAGGCCGGGAGTTCGAGACCAGCCTGAGCAAGAGTGAGACCCCCGTCTCTAAAAAAAACAAAAAATCAAAAGAAATTTTTTTTAAAAAAGAGGATTCTTGTCAAAATGAACTAAATCAAATGTCTAAAATTCCATCAAACCACCCTTATATTGATACCAGCTGACAACAACACAACTTTCTACAGACTCAGGGTCCTTGTCCTTTCCTGCTGAGCTCGGCCCTCCACTGGGGAGGGTGGCCCCCGCCCACCCACTGGGCCCCAGTCCCAGACAGGCCCAGGGAAGACAGAGACGGCCCAAGGAAGTTCTCAGTTTCCCCTCAGGATCGGGGGGCAGAAGGTTATTGGAAACAGCGTGTAGAGTAGGAGTCCATCTGTGTGGGGGTGTGGCTGCGTGCGTTTGCATGTATGTCCACATGCACACACACGTGTGTGTCTCTGTGTACACGAGTGTACGGACACAGGAAAACCCTAGCTGGCTGGGCACTGAGATGTGTTAATACTGACTTTTTTCCTGAGTGGTGGGGTGAAGTAATTTACTATCTAAACCTTTCACTAAGAGCATTTTCACCTTTAAAATATATATTTCTAAAAACCATCACACGTGTTGCCATATTTGATCCAGATGCTTTTTTTACGAGAACGGAATGAAAATATTCCAGATACAGTTGGAACCTCGTCTATCCTATTGGGCCCCCTCCAGGGGAAACCACGGCCTTGGAACTGATGTGCACAGTGGTGCTCTGCCGTGCACGTGTGGCCGCATTAACAACATAACATGTGGATGTTTATGCTCATAAATTATGCAATTATGTGTATGTTCAAAAATTATGCAAAGTATACAATTAATTATAATACATTCATTTATAATTTAAGTCGATGTAGTTACAAATTATATGATTATTAATGATTCATATCATTTAATTCTATTGGCTGTATCATTTTGCCTCTTGCTTTTTTCCTTGATCACATTTTAGTGATTTATTCATATCGACACGTGTAGATCTGGTTCACGCACTGTAACTGCTGTGTGTTAGTGGTTGTAGGAACACAACCACTGTTTACCCCATCTCCTGTTGGTGACTATCAGCTCATTTTCAGCTTCTGGCTCCACAAACAGTGGACTCCACGGGTTCTAGCATTGCAGCAGGCCTACAACGGGGAATGCTGAATTGTGTGTCCCGTGGGAATCTTCAACTTTTCCAGTCCTTGCCAAGTGGCTCTCTGAAATGCTAGACTCAATTTTCATCCCATCAGCACCGTATGCCAATTCTAATTTCTATACTTCCTGCCCCAACACTTCGAATATCAATCTTTTAATCCCTGCTAATCCAGCGGTTGTGATGGGGCACCTCATTGCGCTTCCCCAATGCATTTCCTCGACCACTTGTGAAGCCGATCATTTCTCATATGCATGGGCCATTTGAATACCCTCTTCTATTACTCTCTTTTTATATCCTTTGCCCATATTCCTACTGTTCTTTTTCTTGTTGAATTATGGGTTGTATCCTATTACGAAATAAAGTGGTTTCCATTTTAAGAAAAAAAAATATTTCCAGGGTAGTTTCCAAAAATATGGGATAACGGTCACTTTCTTGTTCCTTGAAAACCCCAGGTACTCGCCTGCCTCAGAACCCTTGCCCAGCTGTCCCTGCGTGGAAGGCTCCTTTCTGAGATGTCCTCACGGCTCGACGGCTCACCTCCTCCCAGGTCGCCTTGGGTGGGCTTCACCTGCTGCCCTGTTCAAGGATGCCCCAGCTCCCCCTGCTCTGGTTTTATTATTTTGCGGTAAACCACATAGTACCATCTGCCATATGTTCCCTGTTGATGATGCACTGAAGACTGCTTCCCATTTTTAACACTTCTCCCATGGAGAGGTGGGTTCTAATTCTCTCCTCCTGCTGGCTAGCTTTATTGACACATCTGACCAGGGTCACACAGCCAGTAAGTGGCAGAGCTAAGACATGAATCCAGAGGGCTGGCTCAGGAGTCCCTGTGCCCAGCCTCTCACAGCCCCTGCATCCTGGCCTGTGCCCCAGAAAAAACTCGCCAACCACCTATTTGGGGTTTAAATATTCTTGTGGAGCGGAGGATTTTGTCTGGCCCCAAACTTCTCTTTTAAAGAAAATAGAAATTAAATTCACATAAGGCATAAAGACTGGGATACCTCTGATACAAACAGGAATAAAAGAGGCCTGAAGGAGCATCTCTGTGTGTGTGTCAAAGACCCCTGACATTCACGGGCTTAGTGGGTAAAATGGTATCAGTTATCTTCTATAATAAATTTGGAATTAACCTCCTAAGAAACTAAGACACCTTTGAAACAAAATATTTTTTGAAGATTGATTTTTTTTTTTTTTGAGTCAGAGTCTCACTCTGTTGCCCAGGCTAAAGTGCCGTGGCATCAACCTAGCTCAAACTCCTGGGTTCAAGTGATCCTACTGCCTCAGCCTCCCAAGTAGCTGGGACTACAGGAATGTACTACCATGTCTGGCTAATTTTTTTCTATATATTTTAAGTTGGCCAATTAATTTCTTTCTATTTTTAGTAGAGACAGGGTCTCTCTCTTGCTCAGGCTGGTTTCGAACTCCTGACCTTTAGCGATCCACCGCGTTGGCCTCCCAGAGTGCTAAGATTACAGGCGTGAGCCACCGCACCCGGCCACGATTGATTTCTTGATAGAATTTAATTTCCTTGGGTTTCCAATAACCTGGGTGACGTTCTTCAAATTATAGATTTCACATTTTCCATTGTCTATATGCAGAATTCGAAGGAAGTTATGATGTCTGTCCTCCAAGATGTATAACTCGAAAAACTTCTATAAAAATACCAATAGCTGTTTAATCTTTGTGGGGGGCGGTCCCAGCAACTGGTCTTTATAGGTGTCAAGCCCCCAATATTTAGGGTGTCTGGGGACCCAGCGACTGGCCCTTCCCTGGCTACATCTTCCTCACTGAGGTGACCTTTGTCAGATTTGGGAGCTTAGGGGGGGACTTGCTTATTTTGCCTCATTTCTATGATCAGCAGGCTGTAAACTTCCAACTCTAGCTCATGTGTGCAAGAGAGAACACTTTTCCAAAGCTCACATGCAACTTAGAGAACACTGACCTCTTTTCCCAGAAATGGAAGTTGTTTATGGGTTAAGAGGGAGAAGGCTGAGATAGTGAATACTAAAATGGTAAACTGACACCACCTCCCCAAAGCTTCAGAGCCCACTTGGTGACCCAGCAGGGTGTCTGGCTCCCAAAAAGATGGGAGTGACTCCTGAAGCTGACCCAGAATTTTATCTAATTTGTGTTCATTGAAAAAAAGAAAACTTTTCTGAAGCCTACATTTGTTTTGTTCAGATCAATATGCATCCTGAAGTTCTAAACTTTTGGCAGTATGTAAGAGTGAGCTTTTATCTCTGTTCTGCCTCTTTCTTCTTATGGGTCTTGCTTCTTGTGAGTTGTACAGCGCGTGTAAAAATCTGCATTTCGATTTCGAGATTATCTACCTTGCATTGGAAAACACACACCAAGCCTGCTATCCCCCCAGAAGCTTTAGCACAGCGCTGGGGACATGGTCAGTCCTCAGCAGATGTGGACGGGTACTGCACTGGACATCTGGAAGTTGTAAATGAAACTGGAAACAAGAACGCTACCTAACGAGATAGTTTAGATGGCTGTCCCCAAGGGTTCCACCTGGGCTTTCCCTCACTTTATTAGTCACATTCAGTTTTGAATGGGTGTGTAAATGACTCTCTGTCTTCCATAGAAAAGCACCTCATTCCTTTGATAGACACAATAGGGGTGAAATAGACACAATAGTAAGTGAAAGACCCAAGGAGCCCAAGACTTCTTAAGCCATAGCCAATGGACAGGTTTCTAGTGCTAAGATCCAATATTCCAGGCTTTTGTTTTTGCTTTGTTTTTCATGCTCATTCCCGTAGCTCACTTGTTATCTTTGCCTAGTAGTTGGACTGATCAGAGAAGATTGTCCACAAAGGGCCACATTACCCAAGAGATAAGGAACAGGAGGGCAGATGAGTGAAAGGATGCCGACTCTAACTCATGCTGGTTTGTCCTTGCAGAAACCATGAAGATTAAACATTTAATGGCATTTTAATAGAAATTCTCAAGTCCTACATCTTAGGGGTGGAGAGAATAACTCTCCTAAACCTAAACACAAACAATGGAAAAGGCAAAATCTACAAATCTCACTCGGCTTACTGGAGCCCCAAACAAATTAAACTTTATCAAGAAGAAATCTAGCGACAGAGCAAGACCTGGTCTCAAAAAAAAAAAAAGAAAGAAAGAAATCTATCTTAAAAGAAATATTCTGCCAGCCTGAACAAGAGCAAGATCTGTCTCTACTAAAAATAGAAAAATTAACTGAGCGTGGTGGCATGCACCTGTAGTCCCAGTGACTTGGGAGGCTGAGGCAGGAGTATTGCTTGAGCCCAGGAGTTTGAGGTTATGGTGAGCTGTGATGAGGCCACTGCACTCTAGCCTGGGCGACAGAGTGACACTCTGTCTCAAAAAAAAAAAAAAAAAAAAATTCTGCTTCCAAAGGGTCTTAGTTTCTTAGCAGGGTGATTCCAAAGTTGGTACAGAAGACGACAGACACAGTTTTGCCGTCAGGCCATTTATGTCTACGTGTGCCCTGGCCACGTATTGTTGCTTACCTGTGACATTTACCAGAGTTAAGTGAATACAGAAAAGGCCAGAAGTGCCCAGTCATTTGGGCCAACCCCCTGCCTGCCCGGCTTCCCTAGTTCAGACTTACGTTTGTGGGCTTTCAGCTTCTTCTCGTCCACAGGAATGAGGTCCAGGTAGTCCAGGTAGTATTCATAGCTGTAGTACGGGGCGGAGGCGTTGGTCCCGTTGGCCATGTCTGCAGCACCGGGAAGCCAGTGTCCGGGCCAGAGGGCTCGCCTCCAGGGCCGGGTGCGGAACCCGCGGAGGAGATTGCCCAAGTGATTTCTGTATGAACAATGAATCATCAAGTGTGTCTGTGGGTCTCCAGGCTCAAGGCTTGCCCACTTATCAGAGCCGTTTTGCTGGAAGAAAGGTCAGGGGGTGTGCCTGACATCTTCAGCATACAAACAGAGCCTCCCATCCTGCCCCTTCTTGATAAAACTCCAAAGCAAACAGAGCTGGGAGGCGGGCTCCTGAATGCCCCCTGCATAAGGACAGACAGCTACGCAGGACACAGACGCCCCGCGCCTCTCGAAAGAGAAGATGCCCACTAGGGCGACAGAGGACAATCGCTTTTTGCCTTAAATACTGGAAAAGTTACCAACATCAAAATGAAAGCCCAACTTTCACAACGAGTGCCCTTGACTGATTTAGGCAATTCTCGGTGCTATTAAGCAACTAGCAAACTACTCACTGACTTAGATTCAATATCCGAGGGCAGAAATTGAGTGCTATCGGCTCTGAACTTGTAACCTGGTTCATGTTCTCAGGGACAATGAATGAAAACCAAAAGAGCCCCCTGCCCCAATTGTGTGCGCCTCTCACCTTTTATCTAAGCCCCAAAGAACCAGCCAGTCAGCTGCATTTGTTCAGATCGATCCAGACAAGAGCCACCCAGCCCGAGCTCTTGGGAAACAGGGGCCACCCGGTGGGTGCTTGGCTGACACTACGAGTGACGAGGATTCTTCTGGGTTTCTGTAGGGGACTGACTCCAAGTTACACACTAGTTCTTCTGAGATCCTTAAAGTCTATCAAGACAAACATTCTGAACACAGGCTTATGGGGGCTTTCCCTCCACTACCCCAGCTTTCCTGTGTTCTTGATTCAGGTCAACACTGCCAGAGTAAAGCTGGTCTTTGACAGCGTAGACAAGTCAACCCAGATAATCTGAGCCCCTCTGCTGGTTTGGGCCAGGTCTGCCTCACCTGAGGCATTCCTTGGGCATCACCCAGAGGCGGTTCAATTGATAAGAAAAGGAGGAATGAGCTCTTGGGTTTCCAAAATGCGGAGGCAAAAGGTCCACTTGAAAAGTAAAAGAAAACTCCTGCTTCCTCTACGCTGTACACTTCCGATACCAGATGCATGTGGTTTTCCACATCAAGCAATTTCCAATTCTCAGCAGACACTAACTGGGTGTGCTCCAATTTAACTCAATTCCTTTTTTGTTGTTGTTGTTGTTTTATTTTTATTTTATTTTTTATTTTAATAGATTTAGGGGGTACAAGTTAACTTCTGTTACGTGTAGATATTGTGTAGTGGTGAAGTCTGGGCTTTTGGTGAATTTGACTCAATTCTGACACTAACTGTCCAGAGTTGTCACAGAACCCATAGGTTAAGGGCTCAGTCCCATAAGACTGCCTCCACTTCAGACGACAATCACAAGTCCCAGGTATTCAGCTGTGTTTCTTTTTTTTTTTTTTTTTCGAAACAGGGTCTCACTTTGTCACCCAAGCTGGAGTGCAGTGGCCTGTTCATAGCTCACTGTAACTCCAAACTCCAGGGCTCAAGAGATCTTCCCGCCTGAATCTCCTCAGTGCGGTGGGACTACAGGTGTGTGCCACCACACCCAGCTAATTAAAAAAAAAATTTTTTTTTAAGAGACAGGGTCTTGCTATATTTCTCAGGCTGGTCTTGAACTCCTGGCTTCAAGTGATCCTCCCACTTTTGCCTCCCAAAGTGCTGGGATTACAGGTGAGAGCTGTACTCCACCATTATTGAGGGTGCCCACGACCCCATCCTCGGGTCACTTGCTAGAATGGCTCACAGAACTCAGGAAAACAGTTTAGTTACTGGATTACTGGTTTGTCATAAAAGGATATAACTCAGAACATCAGGTGGAAGAGATGCACAGGGCAAGGCACTGAGAAGGGGCATAGATTCTCCTTGCCCTCTCCAGGTGCACCACACTCCCAGCACCTCACTGTGTTCAGCAACTTGGAAATTCGCTGAGCCCCCTTGTTTGGGGTTTTTACAAAGGTTCCATTACACAGGTGTGACTGATTAAGTCCCTGGTCATTGGTGACTGGACTTCATCTCCAGCCCCTCCCCCTCCCCAGAGGTCCAGGGTGGGGGTGAAAGTTCCAACCCTCCAATCACCTGGTTAATTCCTCTGACAACTTGTTCCCATCCTCCAGGAATCGCCATATTAGCATAACTCAGATTGTTGAAAGTGGCTTATTATGAATAATGAAAGACGCTCCTCATAATGGAATAATGGAATAATGAAGACGTACCCCATCACTCAGAAATTCCAAGGGTTTTAGGAGCTCTGTGCCTCAGAGGAGCCTCAGAATGAAACCAACTGTACTGACACCTTGATCTTGGACTTCTACCTCTAGAATTGTGATAAAATAAATTTCTGTTGTTTAAGACACCCACTTTGTGGCACTTTGAGCTACTAATATAATATCAATCATCTAGTTCTAATTGCTTACATAGAACACCGTACCAAACACTTGCAGAATGCACATTCTTTTCAAGTGTAATTTACTAATGTGTAGTATTAATTTTTCATACTACTATAAATGTTTTCTCCTAGTGTCAAAAATGTAAAATACATAGAAATAAAAAATTAATGAAAGACGTGCAAGACTAAAAACTATAAAGTATAATATTACTAAGATAAATAAAAGAAGACCTAAAATGTGGAGAGAGATACCAGGCTCATCGGTTGAAAAATTCAGTGTTATTAAGATGCCAAATGACCCCAATTTGATCTATAGATTCAACGCAATCCCAATTATAATCCCGGCAGCTTTTTAAAAAATAGAAATTGACATACTGATCAATTACATTTTTCTGGAATTTAAAACATTTGTTTCTCAAAAGAGATCACTAAGAAAATGAATAGGCAAGCCACATACTGGAAAGAAATATTGAAAAATTATATATCCAATAAAGAATTTATGCCCAGAATACGTTAACAATAAAAAAAAGACAAATAACCCAATTAAAAAACTGGCAATAGATTTGAACAGATACTTCACACAAAAAAAATGTAAGAATAGCCAATATGAACATGAAAAAGTGCCCGACATCATTAGTCAGCAAATTAACCAGGAGACAGTCCTACATCTAACTGAATGGGTAAAATTAAAAATACTGACGAGTATAAAGAACAACTGAAATCTCAAAGATTGTTTTTAAGAATGCTAAACAGTTTTGAAGAAAAGAAGCCAGACACATATAGCCCCATACAGTATGATTCCATACATGTAAATGCTTGAACGGGCAAAACTATTAATATGTGAAAAAAATCTTTTAAAAGTGATTGCCTCTGGGAATGGCAACTGGAGAGAGTCTGAGAATGAGCAAAAAGGAACTTTCTGGAGGTGATGAAAATGCTTTATACAGTCATGTGTCAAATAAGGACATTTTGGTCAACAGTGCACCACGTATAAGACAGTGGTCCTGGCCGGGCGCAGTGGCTCACTCCTGTGATCCTAGCACTCTGGGAGGCTGAGGCGGGTGGATCATTTGAGCTCAGGAGTTCAAGACCAGCCTGAGCAAGAGTGAGACTCCATCTCTACCAAAAATAGAAAAAAATTAGCCGGGCATGGTGGCACATGCCTGTAGTCCCAGCTACTCGGGAGGCTGAGGCAGAAAGATCACTTGAGCCCAAGAGTCTGAGGCTGCTGTGAGCTAGGCTGATGCCACGGCACTCTAGCCTGGGCAACAGAGTGAGACTCTGTCTCAAAAAAAAAAAGACAGTGGTCCCATAAGATTAGAATACCGTATGTTTTACTATATCTTTTCTATGTTTAGATACACAAATACTTTACCATCATGTTACAATTGCCTATAGTATTCAGTACAATAATATGCTGTACAGGTTTGTGGCCTAGGAATAATAGGCTACACCATACATCCTAGGCTGTAGTAGGCTGCATTACTTAGGGTTGCTTAAGTACACTCCATGATGTTTACAAAGTGACCAAATCACTAACAAAGCATTTCTCAGAATGTATCCCCATCATTAAGTGATGCATGACTGTTTTTCTTTTTCTTTTTTGGAGACAGAGTCTCACTTTGTTGCCCAGGCTAGAGTGAGTGCCATGGCGTCATCCTAGCTCACAGCAACCTCAAACTCCTGGGCTCAAGCGATCCTGCTGCCTCAGCCTCCCGAGTAGCTGGGACTACAGGTGCATGCACCACCATGCCCAGCTAATTTTTTTTCTATATATATTAGTTGGTCAATTAATTTCTTTCTGTTTATAGTAGAGATGGGGGTCTCGCTCTTGCTCAGGCTGGTTTTGAACTCCTGACCTTGAGCAATCCACCCGCCTCGGCCTCCCAGAGAGCTAGGATTACAGGCGTGAGCCACCGCGCCCGGCCATGATTGTTTTTCAACACAGATATGAATTACATAGTTGTATGCATTTTTAAAAACTCATTGAACTGCACACTGAAGATCTGTGCTTTCCAGTGTATATAAATTTTACCTTAAAAAAAAGTCTGCAAACAAATTAAATATTGTTGTAAAAAGGGCCATCTCAAAAAAAATAACAGTAAAACCCCAAATATAAAGAATCTTCGGTCGATTGCCTCTTTCTAAAGGAATTACATTTATCAACTATTGGAATTTACATACCAGCTTTAAGGGATTCTTCTTCATGAGTACAATTCATCTCTAAGATGTGACGGACCTCAGGCTGACAGTGTCCTGGCGACATCACTGGGTGCCACCTGCAAAGATGAGTCGGAACCTCCTTCCTTTCCCACGGCCACCTCTGGAGAAGTGGTAGGACAAACACTGGACGTACCTCTTAGGGAGTAACACAAAGACTGGGGCTGGGGTGGGCGGGGCATGGCTCAAGTGCAAGTTTTCAGAAGTTTCTAGGCTTTCCTAATAGTCATCAAGTTTATGTAAGTAAATCTAAAAATTGAAATTAGGAAGTTGGCTGGGGTTTGGGGAGGATTTTTACATTTTTAGTGACTTTTTTAAAATCGGAAAATCATAGATAAATTCCTTCCTTCCTTCCTTCCTTCCTTCCTTCCTTCCTTCC